TCCATCGAGATCCTTTTCATGGCTGTGCGGAGCAAATCCATGCAAATGTTCAATCGTCTCTGCTGGCAAGTATCTGACCAGAGAGCGTTGGTCAAAGAGGATTTGGATGAATGCTTCGGAGCCATCCAGAACCTCAACGGTCGGCACTGGGTAGCGCTGAAGCGTTGGAGCAGCAATCATTTCGTCCTGCTTGGCTCCCTGCAGGAGCGACCCGCGCTACTCTCTCACGCTGAGTTAGAAGACTCTCTGCAGCAGCACCCGACCTATTCCATTCGCCACATATGAAACTTCGAGTTCCCAGGTGCGCGGAGCACAGCAGCTGCTCCCGCGCGCGGATGTTTCACCAACGACAACTGCTTCGACTTGCGGAACCAGCACAGGCAAGTGGCGCAGAAAAGCAGAGTGCGCAAGACCAATACAGTGCATGACTCGGATTCTGAAACGCCTCGCTGAAGAGTCCATGATATGGAGAAGATCGCCAGAATTTGTGTCCACTGGCTCAAGTCCCTGCATGGTCTTTGCACTTCTCACAGTCTCTATGATATGTATGTAGATGCAAAGTCGCAACATTTCTCCGACAACTTTACGAAGGAACAAACAAGGGCAGTTCAGATCATGCAGCCCCGTAGGCAAATCCGCCATGGTAACCTGCGAGCCGCATGACGCAGGCAAGCTGAACCAAATCCCGCCACCCTCTTTGCCTTCAGATTTTAGACCCAACCGTCTCAGCCCCTACGCACCAGGGCCCAGCCCAGCAGCCCAGCAGCCCACAACCCCGCAACAGCAGCACCCAGCCCAGCCCAGAGCCCCCTTCCCCAGTCCCAGCCCGGTCAATCAAGCGCTCAGCCAGCCAATAATGCCCAAGCCCACTCGGGACCTGAACCCCCGCCACCCTCCTTGCCTTCAGATTTTAGACCCACCCGCCTCAGCCCCTACGCACCAGGGCCCAGCGCACCAGCCCGGTCAATCAACCCCTTCGCAGCTCAAGCCGGGGGCTTAGCAAGCCGACAATGCCCAAGCCCTAGCTGGTCCAGCCCAGCCCAGCCACTTCGCCAGCCGAATGCCCAAGCCCTAGCGGGTCCAGCCCAGCCCAGCCCAGCCACTTCCCAAAGTCAAAATGACAAAGCAAAAACAAAAACCCGCTCAAAACTCGGTAAAAACTTTGTCAAAACTCGGTCAAAACTCGGGACCTGAACCCTATACAATTTCTATAAACCCTAAACCCTAAACCCTAAACCCTAAACCCTAAACCCTAAACCCTAAACCCTAAACCCTAAACCCTAAACCCTAAACCGTGAACCAGAGCAGAAAAAAACACACCCCATTTTGTTAACCCTGGTTGTCGTGCTCAACATCCTTAAAACAAGAAGTCAAGAACCAGTGCAGAAAAAAAGCCCCATTTTGTTAGTCCTAGTTGTCGTGCTCAACATCCTTAAAACAAGAAGCCAAGAACCAGAGCAGAAAAAAACACACCCCATTTTGTTAACCCTGGTTGTCGTGCTCAACATCCTTAAACCAAGAAGCCAAGAACCAGTGCAGAAAAAAAGCCCCATTTTGTTAGTCCTAGTTGTCGTGCCACCTGCTGACAATCTGGTCCCCTCGGGATTGCCACCTACCGACAATCCAAGGAAGCATAGGGCCAAAGTGAAGTGTGACAGCCATCCGCCCCCTTTCCACCAAGCTCCACCCAGATTGCCACCAGCTGACAATCTGAAGCCCTGAAGATTGCCACCTGCTGACAATCCAAAGGGGCAACCGGCCAGCAAGGGAGTGTGACAGCCATCCGCCCCCTTTCCACCAACCCCCACCAGGATTGCCACCTCTTGGCAATCTGTACCCCCTTAAGATTGCCACCTGTTGGCAATCTGTACCCCCCCTAAGATTGCCACCTGCTGACAATCTAGATCCCCTGTGATTGCCACTTGTTGGCAATCTGTACCCCCTTAAGATTGCCACCTGTTGGCAATCTGTACCCCCCTAAGATTGCCACCTGCTGACAATCTAGATCCCCTGTGATTGCCACCTGTTGGCAATCTGTACCCCCCTACGATTGCCGCCTTCTGACAATCTAGACCCCCTAAGATTGCCACCCCTTTGGGGCCTGGAGATTGTCACTCGGGGCCTGGCGATTGTCACTTTGGGGCCTGGAGATTGTCACCTGGGGCCTGGCGATTGTCACTTTGGGGCCTGGAGATTGTCACTCGGGGCCTGGCGATTGTCACTTTGGGGCCTGGAGATTGTCACCTGGGGCCTGGCGATTGTCACTTTGGGGCCTGGAGATTGTCACTTTGGGGCCTGGAGATTGTCACTTTGGCGTTGTGGGTGGCCTGGTTGCAAGTTTTTGCAGGTTTTGAGAGGTTTTTAAAGGCTCAGAGTGGTTTTAAAACGTTCTAAGTGGCTTCCGAAGTTATTTCAAAGGGCTTTAAGCAGTCTTGAAGCCGGGCAAAATTGACACCCACCGTCAATCTACGACCGCCCGGGGACCAGGATTTCCCCGACCCGCGCGCGTACACACAATGCGCTTTTGGACCCTCCGCTCGCACCCCAAGGGAGCATGCTAACTGTCTTTTGGAAGCTAGTAATGGCGTTGAACTACAGCGACTGCTGTACGCGCCAGTTCACTAGCGAAGCGGCCTCCAAATACCTAAAAAGAGCCGAGGTGCCTTCCTTGAGCATTCCAAAAGTAGGCCGCGGTCATACTTTTGGGATGTGTGCCACGGACGCGCTTTGCGCGAGGATCGGTTTGTTTTCCTCAGTGCCAAGGGCCAAGGGGGCTTCCCATTGAGCCTGTCAACGGGAACGCGTGTACTCGCTCGCGGGTGCGCGTTACTACCGGGGATCCGATCTATCTCCAATCGGTGAACACATATGGGCGAAGGATGTTTCAATCCGACCAGAAACATCGGGGAAGCAGGGAGCGTGTGCTGCGGGACATTCTCTTATAAGGCACCTAAAATAAGGCCATCCCAGTACTAAGTACGCTGGGGGGTGCCTTCGAAGACCTTCACACTCTCATACTTCCCACGCATGCATTCACTGAACATGTCCAAGCCAAGGACTGATTTTTGGTGCAAGCGACTCGGCTGCAATTAAACACGTGCATGTCCACATCTGTCCATGCTAGGCTTCCAATGTGCTAGCAATCATCTGATCTGGACGCCAAGGTACGGCCAACAAGGCCGAAACGCGCAGCAGCCGCCAGGCTGCAATCACATGCGTGCACGCTCCCACTGTCAAAACACTGTCTCGCGCAACACCCCTGCTATTCTTCCTGAACTCGTCAGCTTCCAGTGTCAGGTTTCTCTGCCGCAACGCAAACACTCGCCGTAGAGCAAATTTGGACTCAAGCTTTGGCACCATGAGCAGCACAGACAGCAAGAGCTCTGCCAGCAGCAGGTTAATTAGGTCACCGTAACCCATGACGCAAGCACAAACACACCAAGGCTAGCCGCCACACTAGCACTCTCCCACTGCATACTCAACACCCCGCACAGTTTCGTGCCGGGATGGCGTGCATCTAGAATCTAGACGCAAACCTCGGGTCCGCACAAGCCTTTCAGTGAGTTTTGAAGGGTTAGTCTGGCAGAATTGCTTCGCTTATTGGGGCGTTAGGAAGGAAAACCTCTTGCAGAATTGTTTCGCTTATTGGGGCGTTAGGAGGGAAAACCTCTTGCAGAATTGTTTCGCTTATTGGGGCGCTAGTAAAGAAAATCTCTGGCAGAATTGTTTCGCTTATTGGGGCGTTAGGAACCAAATTCTCTGGCAGAATTGTTTCGCTTATTGGGGCTTCAGGAATGAAAACCTCTTGCAGAATTGTTTCGCTTATTGGGGCGTTAGACGAAAAAACCTCTTGCAGAATTGTTTCGCTTATTGGGGCGTTAGAAGGAAAACCTCTTGGGCCATCCCAGGCTAAGTATGCTGGGGGTGCCTTCAAAGACCTTCACACTTCATCATACCATCATATTTTCACACACACGCTTTCATTCAGCACGTCCCAGCCAAGGTATGCCACCTTGGAATGCAACTTGGCTGCAATCAGACACGTACATGTCCACGTCAGCTTGGCATCCCGCCCTTTTTGTGCCGCTGCCGAGGCACTACCAGAGGGACGGCAATGAGAAACGGCCACTAAGCTGCAATTGCACGCATGCAAGCTCGCAGTTTCCCTTCCATGTCGTACGTCAGGTCCGCTCCAAACCAAGCTGCCAGCCAAGACCTAAGGAAGATACATCCGCGATGAGAGCCCCTGCAGATGCAAGATGAGCCTCCTATATCACTGGTAAGGGGTGCCTTCAAAGACCTTCACGCTTCATCATACCATCATACTTTCCCGCACATGCATTGATTCATCACGTCACAGCCAAGGTATACCACCTTGGAATGCAATTTGGCTGCAATCAGACTTCATGTACATGTCCGCAGCCAAGGTACAGCTTTGGTCGCATCTTGACAGCAACTAGACAAGGCCATATTTGCTTTATTTTTACGTTGATTCCCTTCCAATGCCAAGGTACAACTACGCGAGGACCTCCGGAGTCCAGTTGAAAAGCCCGCCCACCACCTGACAATCTGTATCCTCGTCCATTTTACGAAGGAAATCGGCTTGGAGAGCTTGCGAATCACTTGACAATCCTCACCACCGTCCAGTTTATGAAGCAGGTGGTGAGAGCCGCAGCCAAAATCAGTTTCACAGAATGGCTACGGCTACATCGGAGCACCGCGCCTTGCAGCCACAGCAGCAGAAGCGAAAAAGGAGAGTCGGCTGCAAGCAGCAAGCCAACGACGCTGACATCGTGCCTGCAGCGAGAGCACACCAACCTTAACCTGGCACCGCAGCCCAATTCGTGATCGAGCCTCAAAAGCAGAGATCCGCTTCCTGAAGAACCATCTAGGCCGAAGCTGCTTCCGACAGTAAGAGAGAAAGAGCAGGCACGGTTCGCTCCCCCGCCCGTGCAGGTGAAGCCATCATGCAGCCCGAAAGCAGCCGACGGTGGGCCGACATGACAGACGACGACGATCAGGCGGGATCGCATGCGACACGCGCAGACGGCCCGACCCCGCCTGAAACCTCAACGGCCTCAGCGCACCGAACCACGAGGCGACCGGCTGGGAGTTCGAAGCGTTCAAGAAGGACTACCTGGCGAGGAGATGCAGCCTGACACTTCTGACGCCCGTGCATGCCCCAGAGCCTCCGAAGAGAGAACCCGTGTATACACGCATGTATGTCGCGCAACTGCGCACCGAACCCACCGGCCGAGGGCGGAACAATCAAGATCGACGAGGCGCGCTGACACCTCGTGCCGTCGCCCTCAGAAATCACAGGAGAGCACACGGGCATGCACGCACGAGGCCTGGAAAACCTCCCCGACAACCGCACCTCGACGGGACACGACCCCGCCCTCCGGCGCGAAGCCAAGAACACCCCGACGGAAGAAGGCATCACGGCCGGAATGCAAGTAAGGACTTGTGCCACGAGAAAAGCCATAGAAAAAAGAAAGCAAGCCGTACGCGGCATCGTGACCTGCAGGCCCCCAAAAAGCCACTGCCGCGCCAGCCACGATGGACGGCCGACGACGAGAGAGCCCTGGATCGTGCTTTCCAGCGAGCAGAGGCACCGGAGAGAAGCTACACCCCAAAGGCGCACAACACCTCCCCCGGCAAGCGTCTAGTCCCACTGTGTGCACAGGCCGACAGAGCCGCCGAGGCAACACCGCCAAGAAACGAAGCCGTGGAAGCGGCAAAGCTCGCAAGGAATGCCGCTGAACCATCTCACGAAGGACCGCGACGGACTCCGACCACGACACGGAGCCCGGACCCAGCGTCGAGGCCGGCGTTTTCCCTCGAGCATCCACTGTCAAGAGCGCTCTTTAGGCAAGCAGACAATGCACCCGAGAGGAGCACTTTCGGGGCATGCTGGCCATCAAGAAGATGTCAGGCGACGGCAACTGCCTCTTCCACGCGCTCGGAGAGAACACCGGCGAGAGCGGGGCATGCCTCCGAGCCCTAATCATCCAGTACCTCAGAGAGAACGCAGAAGCCGAAGAAGACGAAGAGCAAGTGCAGGCCTGGCTACAGGAAAGCCAATACCTCCAAAGCGATCCGGGTCACTGGGGCGGCGACACGGCCATCATCGCTTTCACCCGCATGAGGCAGCAGCGAGTCCTTTTGCACTGGCGGACGCCAAACGGCGACATCCTCACGAGCGAGCGCACGCACTCGGACGTGGACGAAGCAGCCCAACGCGGGCCGCACGCAGCACCGAACGCCACGGAAGTGATCCATCTCTGGTACAACGGCAGGGACCACTACGACCTGCTGGTGCCCATAGACCGAGCACCGCCACCAGCACCACCACTGCCACCACCACCACCACCACCACCACCACCACCCCACCCGATTCCGCGCCCAGCCAAGCGCAGAAGAACCGCCGCCGGCGGAGAGGAGGCCCATCAACAGGCCCAGGCGCGCAAGACGCCGTCGAAGCCAACGACACGACCGCCCGAGCCAGAGGCACAGGACGAGCCCAACCTCCTGGAAGAGCTCACCAGCATGCCCGTGGCGCCGGACAGCAGCCACCCCCGGCGGAAACTGGAAGAGGCTCTCCGGCACCTCGCACACACCCAGCTGCGAGCCCAGCCGCTGATACCGCCCGGAGCCAGGCCCGAAGACCTCGACCGTGGGGAACCCTGGCCAGGACAGTTCTGCGCCTTCCAGAGCTGCAACTGGTCATTGCTCACGGGCACCGAGCAAGAGCTTCGAGAGCACGTCCAGCAAGAGCACGCAACAGCACTGCAGAGCGTCGCACAGCACCTACCCAAGCCAATCCCGGCCGATGCACTGGCCAGCGTCTACAACGAAGCCATAGCCCTGCGGTGCAGAGAGGCCGCACCCGTGGCAGGAAGCTCGCGGGACAGAAGCGCGCTGCGGAGCTTCGCCGAAGCCACCAGCAAAGACAGGGTGGAAGCGATCATTTGCTTCTGCTGCGCATGCATCCACACACGCGTGGCCGACGCCGAGGCCGCGGGCCCCATCCGCTGGCGCAGGCTCATCCAGGGTCCCCCCAGCAACGACAGGACCCACGCCGAGACAACCGAACGTCTGCACGACATCCTGAGCATCGACAAGTACCTGGGGCTCTACGCGACCTGGCCGGGGACGTCAAGCTCACCGACGTGGCCGAGCTGAACGAGTGGACCGTGACCATCCCCGGGCTCGGCGACATACTCTGCTGCCCAGAAGACCACCGCTGCCACGCCAATCCCCAGCACCCAAGCCAGCACACGCTCTGCGAGCACTGCGAGGTGCCCCTCTGCCGCGACTGCGCGCAACACTTGGACAACGGCCAGCTGCCGCCCCTGAGCTTGTGCAATGACATGTGGACAGGCTACTCCCCGGCGCGCCTGCACGAAGAGAAGGTCACAGTGATGGAAATGATCTGCGCAAGCCCCTGCGTGACGACCCTGGTGTGCATGTCCATGGAAGCGCGGCACCGCAGCGAAGGGACCACCTTAGACGAAAAAGCCCAGAACGCCCGTCACCGCCTGGGCGCGCGCGGCAACGCCCTCACCTTTCCCCTCCCATGGGAAGACCTCCTGCGCAACCTAGAGGCACACCACGCAGAAGTTGCCAGGGAGCAGGACCAAGCGGGAGCGGCAGCACCCCCCAGCCTGCCGCGCACAGGCAAGGCGCTCGCCGAGGTCGCGAGGGTGCTCCTCAAGACGAACAAAACGGGCAAGACGAGCGAGACCGAGATCAAGACGCTGCTCCACCAGGCCACCGTGCGGAGAGACGTAGTCGTGAACCTCATCCACGACATGCAGCGCCTCGGGCATCCCGCGTTCCAGCACCTGCGCATGGCGGATGTGCGGGAGGCAGCATCGCAGCTGCCAGAGGGCGGCGTGCCGCCGGAAGTACTCAAGATCATTTCCGGCCTGAGCGAGGACGACGAGACCGCCCACAAGCTGCAGCCGCAGAAGGCCGCCGCCCCGACGGACGCGCCGGAGCAGGACATGCAGCGGGCCGGCGCCATCTTCGCCGACCAGCGAGCCCGGGCCGTCGTGCCGGAAGGCTGCAGCACGGACCGCGAGGACCAGAACGCCGTGGCCACGGCCGCACTCAACGACCTCCAAACCCAGCTCCGCAGCAACGAAGAGAACGAGAAGGTCCTCGAGACCATGGAGGTGCGCACCGGCAACATCTTGGTGGACCAGTTCCAGCCGCTCTACTTCGCCACGGCCTTCAGCTTCTGCTTCGCCCACGGCACCGCCTGTCCGGACGTCCAGAACAGCAACAGCACAGCCGGCAACCGGGCGTCAGCGCAAGGACGCCGCCGAGACAAGAACCCGGAGGCCCCCCAAGTGCAGATCTTCGAATGGGCAACAGCCATGCAGCGCCGGGCAGAAACCCAATTCAGGCGAGACTGGAGCTTCGGCTTCACCCTCTGGAACTACCTCTTCAGGACCATGGTGAACACCCAGGGGAACGCCTTCATCTACAGCGTCGCCGACGAGAACCACGAGAGCAGGGCCCTGACCACCAAGGAGATCCTGGAGGGGCAAAAGCAGATCCAGCAAAAGCTCCTCAGAGGCCAGTACCTCGACATCAACAACCAGCTGAAGCCCATCAACGGAGACCTCACCAAACTACGCTTCGTCCCAGGGCTCTCAGAAGCAGCCCTGAAGGCTCGAAGCTCGTGCAAAGAAAATCCTATAAAGCACGGACCCACCCGCAGTGCAAGCCTCCCATCCTTCGCCGCCTGAAACCCCGTAGAGAGCAAGCAAGTGCCGTGACGCGCGCCGTAGAAGGCCACACTCGGAGCAGGCAAGCTACCAAGAGCCAGGTTACAACGAGTGCCCAAAGCAAGCCCGACAGCGGTGCCAGGTCCTGGACAACACGGAGGCGCGCAGTCGAAACATCCCGGGCACGCACGAGGTGCGCAAGACCATGCGCCTCCAAACCCACGCCAATCGGATATGCCACGGCACACCGATCTTCGTGACCTTCTCCCCCTCAGAGCGCGACAGCACGGTGATGCTGCGCCTGGCCCGCGCCCGGCAGTCCGACCCCAGCCTCGGCCCAGAGGACACCACCACCCGAAGAGCCCAGGGGCGCAGCAAGCCGGAGCTGGACGTGGAGTTCTACAGCCTCAACCCAGAAGCCCTCGCCGCCGAGCTGCCGCCCTACGACGCTCGCCGGGCCATGCTCACCAAGGATCCCGTGGCCTGCGCCGACGGCTTCCGCACCCTCGTGCAGCTCGCGCTGCGTCACCTCTTCGGCGTCCGCTACTGCCCCCAGTGCCCGAATTGCAGCAAGTCCAAAACACCCTGCGCGGACGCCTTCGGCAGCAACGCCATGGCCTGCGGCGGGATCTTCGGCCGCATCGACGCCGCGTTCGGGTCCATCGAAAGCCAGAAGTCCGGGGTGCTGCACGTCCACTTCCAGGCACGCCGGCACAGTCATGAGAGACAACCAAAGAAAGGCCATGCGACACCGAAGCCACCGCCGCCCCCTGTGCAGCTCTTCCTCCAGTGCTTCCACCAGTTCAAGTCCCTCGCGGAGCTGCAGGCCCTGGGTCCCGCACGCAAGCAAGAACTCTTCCAGAAGTACTGCACCTACACGGCCCACGTCAGCCGCACCATCTACCGGGACCCGCAAACCTGGGAGAAGAAGCGCCCGGAAACGGAGGAGCAGTGGCCCGCCTACCGCGACTCCTACCTGGCCCTGAGCCGCCCGCACTACCAGAGCACAGACGCGTCCACGGACGCCACGACCTGGCGACGGCTCTATCTCGACGAGGACGTGGAGGCCCTGCAGCAGCTGAAGCAACATCACGTGCACCTCCCCAAGACGACGAACGGTCCGCGGCTGCCGCTCGACCACTGCCGCGACAAGAAAGACCCCACGAAGTGCAAGGCAGGCTTCCCTCGCGAGAAGCAGCTGGTGGACAGCACGACACTCGTGTGCGAGGGACTCGCAGAAAAGATGGGCATGCCGGTCAAGGGCAAGCGCAGCGCCCTCGGCCGTCTCTGGGGGCCTTGCAACGACCCGAACCTCAACGGCAACCACCCCGCGCTGCTGGCCGCCCTGCGCTGCAACGGCGACGTCCAGCTGCCCTACCGCTTCCCGATCACCGAGGACCTGCACGACGCCGCCGGCCGCTGCACGCGAGACTGCCCGACGAAGAGCAGCCTGCGGGAGATGACCTACCAGGCCCAGCTGAACCAAGCGGCGCAGGCGGGCTATGCATGCGACTACCAGAACAAGCGGAACCCCATCGCGGTCAACGAGGTCCAAGAGTGGAACAAGAGCCACAAGGACCTGGAGACAGAACTGCGGGACAACTCCTCCGCCGGCTACGTGGGAGCCAGGGCCTCGAAGCGCCTCATGACGGACGCCTTCGCCCGGGGCGTGGTCCGAGGCTCCGTGGAGTGCACCAACCTCATCGACAACGCCGGCCACAGCGACCCCACCGCCGCGGAAACCATCAAGACCGCAGCACTCGCGGACATGTCCCTCCAGATGGGCCTCGAGCTCATGCAAGCCGCCACCGAAGGCCGGCCGCTGCCGACAGAGCGCGCAAAGATCCAGAGCGACCTCAGTGGGTGGGTCGACAGACCCGGCAACAAAAGCAAAAGGAAGCTCGTCGCCGAGCCACAGCTGTGGACCGTCTACGGCAACCGCGGCACGGACCCCAGAGTGCAACCCCTCTCGGCCTTCGAGTTCGCTCGGTTCTACCACATCCAGCCAGCCAGATATCCATGGACCCTAAAGCAGCAGGAGGAGGCCGCCGCCGCTGATCGCGAAGCAGCCGCCGACAACGACATCGCCTACCACGCCCTGCTGACGGACAAAGGCAAGGAGAAGCTCGGCAAGAAACTCGGACGTCGACTTCTGCAGGGCGGCACGGACTACCTGATCCGAGAACAAGGCGGGGAAAACTGGATGCCGCTGGGCAACGGCAACCGCGTGCGGAAGCATCGCCACGACTGGGTCATCGTCCCACGCAAGCGGCCGCACGTGCCGGTCCTCTACGGTGCGCTCGGCAGCCGCAGCGAGGAGGAGCACATCATGAAGATCCTGCTGCTCTTCTGTCCCTGGACCAGCAACCCACACGAGGCCACCGAAGCCGTCCCGTACGTCGGCCACCTCCGCACGACGGACATGAGCAGCTGGCGCCAGGCGCTGCAATGCGCGTGGAAGCACGCCGGGGGCTTCCCCACCGAGGAGCTGAAGCGCTACGTCCTGAACTACGCCTTCGTGTTCAGCCTGCCCCGAGACCTACAGCCCGACATGGAACTGGCAGCCAACAGCGACAACGAAGATCTCCAGGACCAAATCTACAACTTCGACGCAGACGAGCTGCAGGAAGCCAGCAAGACACACGTGCGGGGCGCAGGCAAGCAAGGGGCTGCGGGCGCCGAAGAGGAGGCACCGCCCAACCAAGCAGAGGAGCCGCCCGCCACAAGCACCCAGCACGACCTCACCGTGCAAATGCTGAACCTCTCCCACAACGTCTGGCTGGGCGAAGCCTCCACGGCATCCGACATGCCGCGCGAAATGGCCGAGCAACTCCTGGAAGACGCCAAAGCAAGCACGGGGGTCGACGACGCCACACGCATGCTGGCAGATGCGGAAGCCTCGCGCAACAAGAGAGAGGCAGAAACGCCGGCAGACGCGCCCGGCCTAGCCGGAAGCCGCCGGGCCACCACGAAGCGCACCGCCAAGATCAGCAACGTCCAGCTCTGGGCGTGGCTCGAGAGCAACGAAGTGCGAAGCACGATGAACGCGGAGCAGCACGAATTCCTCAAACTCGTCGTAGAGCGCGTGCTGGTGGAGTACAACCTAGTGCCACCAGAGAACACACTCAGACGCAGTGAGGAACCGCTGGTCTGGCTGCTACACGGCCGTCCAGGCACCGGCAAGACCCACGTGCTGAAGTACGTGCGCAAGCTCTTCGAGGAGCTCCTCGGCTACGAGCAGGGCATCGACTACCAGTTCGCCGCCTTCCAGGCCACCAACGCCGCAGACATCGACGGCGAGACACTCCACACGGCCTGCGGCCTCAGCAAAGACAGAGACTGCCTGGAGACGACCTGCAGCCCGCAGACAGCGCGGCGCATGGCTTACTGGCGCTGGCTCATCGCAGACGAGGTAGGCATGATCAGCGCCCGACTGCTAGCCCAGGT